ACTCCTGCGAATTTCGCTTAAAGAGGTCCAAACACTGCTTCGACATTGACAGCCGTATCCGCTTGTTGTCCACCGTGAGCAACCGCGGCACCCATCGGGCTGACACCTTTCTCATACTTAAGTTATCATGTAAAATATTGAGTGCCGTTCCGTACGACACACCTATGGCCTCTGCTACTTCGCGCACTTTAGTTCGGCGATCAGCGAGAATCATGTCATGGACCTTTTCAACGATTTCCTCGGTAACGACGTCTGCCGGGCGGCCCGGCCGCTCCTCGTCAAAAACAGATGTACGACCACGTTTAAATTCGTTGAACCAATATCTCACGGTTGTCATAGATGGTGAAGGGTCCCCATAGACGGCATCCAACTTCGCTTTTATTTCTTCGCATGTTTTTCCATCCAAAAATAAAAAGCGAATTACGGATCGATATTGCACTTTCTCCATTGTATCAAGAAAGACAAAACACGTCTGATGCAACTGGCTGCCAAATAAAAACTAACCTATGAATCAGTCTGAAATTTAGTATGGGGTCGTTTGACAGATGGCAGTACACGACGGTAAAGCCAACTTCCCTCAGCAACGCCACCTGTCTTCAAACACGGGTACTTATTGATCGACCCTCGTATTTCTCATCCAACACTAATACATTTGTCCTATTGCTTTACCAATGCATCCAAACCTGCACCTAGAAGTCTTTTGACTGTTGTCTCAGCCTCTTCTGCACCTCCATCTGAACCTCATCGTCATAAGTAAAACTTTTGCCACCAAGGTTGTTTTTAAGTGGACCAAACAGATGGAAGTCACTAGGGGCCAGGTCCGGGCTGTAAAGCGGGAAATTCCCACTGTAGTTCTTGAATTCTCTTCTGGGATGCTCCAGCTGTATGGGGTCTGGCATTGTCATGATGAAGCAGAACTTGGGTGTTTTTACGAATTGCACCCTGAAGCTTCAACTGAACTTCACAGTATGATGCAGAATTCACATTTTCACCGCACTTCTGAAAACAAGCTAACAGTACTACCTAAGAATCCCAGAACACGGTAAGAATAACCTTCCCAGCTGATGGTATACTCATAACCCTAAACCTTTTGGTTGAAGGTGAACTGGGATGTTTCCATTGCATTGAAGCACCCTTTAATTCAGGTTGGTAGTGATAACCCATGGTTCGTTGCCAGTAGCAATCCTGTTCAGCATATCTTCTTCATCTACATAGTGTAACATGTTGCGGAACGGAGACCCTCTCCCTACCCAGCAGCAACGTGGCGCCTCAGGCCACAGGTGCGTGGCGGTAACGAAGCGCTCCCTCCCGCCCCTCCGCGGTGACGTAACGCGCAACGCTAACGTAACCGTAATCAACGTCCTACTGTGACGTGGCACTCATTACGCCACAGGCAAGCACTGCAGCTATATAAGTGGATGCACAGTGCGTATCGATCAGTTCGAGTTCGAGTTCCAGTGTGGCTACCGCCGAAGACATTCCGAGTTATAAAGTAACAGCCAGCCGACTACAGTTGGAGTATAGCAGCCGTCGCGGTAAGAAGATCCGGACGTGTGTGCGATTGTGTAATTGGGAGCG